CCCCAAAACCCCAAAACCCCCTTTATCTTAAATATAATGTTTTAAGGATTTGATATGAAATTAATTGAATTTATTTCATTTGCTCATAGTTATTGAATATTTTCGAAATACATAGCTGCATTTCTGAAGAGTACTAGCTTAAGAATGGTCAAATCATTCTCTTTTATCAAGTTTCTTAACTCCAATCTTTACTTGATTAACATGATGAATAATCTCCTCCTTTTATTCATCTTGCAGGTTGTCTAGGATATTTGATTCAAGTTCCCCTGTTTTAAAATTAGTTGTCACAACTCTATGCAACTCTTCTCTTTCTTGGGATTTTCCTCTCTTTCTTTTTGTTACTCTATTTTTCAAGGCATTATTGAATTAAGATCTTATTCCAATATCATTGATTTCATCAAGTGGTTTTTTCCCCCATCTGTCCTTAAGATTGAAATTGAATTCTGTATCATGAATCAAATACAATAATAGCTCAGTATGGCCTTCAGCTGCAGCTAGATGGCCAACTGTTCTCAAATCATAATCTGATGTTTCAATATCAGCCTCACATTAATTGAGCAGTTTTACTTTCTCAGTATCCCCTTTAAATCCGCTAATACATAGTAGTTTAGCCATTTTTTCTGGTAAAGTATGGACGGATGCTCCTTTAAAATACAATAGAAGAGCTATATCGCTGTAGCCTTTTCTTATAGCATGATACAAAGGAGAACATCCTGTTGAATCAATCTTATCCAAGTTAATATCTATTAGTGTTATTATTTAATCTAAGTTTACTCTCTTTAATTAGGAATTTGACTACTTCTATGTGTCCTTTTAAACAAGCTATATGAAGTGGAGATCTTGTTCTGTAATCAAGAGCATTGAAATTAACTCCTTCTTATTTCAATTGTTCGAGTTGAGATATGTCTCCCTATTTTAAATTATTAATGATGAATTTAATTTTACTGAAGCAGCAATTGAATTCAGCAAAACTGGCTCGATAGTCTTGAATATTTGTTTATAGTCACCAGCTTCTTCATTTTTTATCACTCTTGCTATTGCTGATACTAAATTACTATTTTTAAGAGAAAAGACTTTTTTATCTCTTTTTATGTCAGTAAGCTCTCCTCTCATACTTTTAATAAGCATCTTCTTAATTTTCTCGGTTGAGTATCCCTAAAATTTTGATTACATAAATAATACGATACCTTTCCAAGAAGATAGCTTAATTTTGCATAGCAGCACTCTAAAGTCATATCTTAGCCTAGAACAGCACCTAATTCAGTTAAAGATCTACCAGCCTCATAAAGATCATTTACTCCTCCTTTGTGGCATTGTGTCAATATTACAACGATTACATTTTTTTCAATAGCTAGTCGAAGTAACTCCATAAGCTCTTTAGATTTATTTGGAATATTTCCCATACCATAGGCTTATATTATTACGCCTATCAAAATAGTTATCGAAAATATAAATATTACCTTCTGATTTTTCAAGGATACTTTCAATGATATTTAAGTTAAACAAAGGTGACATACTTATTAAGGAGATATTGTTCGACATTTCAGTGAATACGACCATTTATCCATCATAAACAGATCTTTCAATGTGATCCCAAGATATTTCAAAAGTGACCCCCATTACACCAAGAGGTTTAAAATTAGGAGAACAAAATGCACTCATTTCGGTTGTACTTTCTTTTTAAGTTCTATTACCTCTCATGAGAGTGTTTGAAAAGAAAATAACGACCTCTGGAATCTCAAAATGTCCTGCAACAATAAGGGATCCGAGAAGATTATCGATTGCATCATTTTTCATTTCTAATAGGGGTATTTATGATCCAGTAACAACTACTGGTTTTTTTAAATTCTCTAACATGAATGAAAGGGCTGAAGCAGTGTAGGCCATTGTATCTGTTCCATGAAGAATCACAAAACCGTCATATTTTTTGTAGTTATGTTCTATTGTCTTAGATATCTTAACCCAATCACTAATCATCATATTACTTGAGTCTATCAGATCTTCAAACTCTAACATTGTATACTTGACCCTCTTTTCAAATGGAGTAACTGGAGTTATAAGTTCATCAGATTTTAGTTAAGCTGTCATCGCATACTCGGTATCATGGAAGCAATGATACATTTTAAGTCTCTCAATCAATCCTCTTTGAACCATGTATCCTCTGGGAGTTTTAACCATGCAAAATGTTCCACCGGTACAGATCACTAGCACATTGGTAATATCCTTGTTTACAATATTTTTATTAACTTTTCTCAATTGATAGTTACGATAGTTTATCATCAAGTTTCCCTTCATTGGGACACTACCCTTTACTGGGTTGTCAAAGTCATAGTATTTCTTAGATTTTTCATTAGATAATGTGGCCGACAGATTTCGTTCTGCATTTCCATCTTATTCCTCACTATTGTTTTCATTTTATTAAGCAACCGTTTTATCCTAGCTTATCATATTTGCATGTGAATGAACTTTCTTCATTGCATTTTTCTAAGGCTAGTTAATCTTTAGTGTATCTTAGGCAATAGCGAGATTATTGCTCTCTTAGGTGTTGCCTGAGCTCTAATTGCTGCTTGATTAGTCAAATTCCATCTAATAAAAATCTTTAAGATTATTTAAATTAATTTACGATTAACATTTAAAGTGATAGTTGATTGGCTTATTAATATTTTACTAGAAATAAATGGACTAGTAACCAAAAGATTAGCTGAATCTGGATTTGAGTTAGGTAGTAACTAACTCTCAATAACGATTGAAGAGAGTCATTGCAGATTAGTCTCTGGTCTCAAATATTAGCAAACCCTTCAATTCTGCCAGAGATTATAAGAAATCTTTCGACAAAGAATTTTAATTGGATTTCTTTAAATTAACTGATAAAGAACTGCATAATGTCACTAAGATCTTAGTTAAAAACATCTCTTCACATATGGTAACAAATAATAAAAAGAGACTTAAAAGTTTACAATAAAAAGCTTAAGCTGAATAGTAAAAGAGCAGAGATCCACATTAAATTAAAACCCCTGAGATTGAAACAGAATCATCAGCAAGGAGGACATTTATTGAGAAGGTAGATTTCAATTAAATCCCCATAACTTAGAGATGGAAAAATCAAAGTTATTAAACGTTTAAACTGCCAATAAATCAATTTATTGAGAGGGAAAAGACTAAAAAGGAGAAGAGCAAGCAAAATACTCCATAAGAAGTCATGAATTATATTGAAACTTGCATGAAAGAGAAGGAGAAAACTCAGTCATTAATTTCAAAGTATAAGCAATCTTATCCAATGTCACTCCTTTACGATCAACCTCCACCAATGCATTAAATATTCCCAGATTAAGTTGCGAAGAGATTCCAGTAAACTTTAAATGGCGGTATTGTTGCGAGTAAGAAAGCATTCTTTTAGAAGCAGCTAGAGTAGTAGAGCCTAGATGACAGTCTGATCTCAGTTGAACCAGACTTGAACTCAAAAATAGATAAGTCAATTGATCGAATGTACAAATAAAGCAAGGATATCTCTCGTAGCTACCAAACTCTACCCAATCTATCTAGATCAAGAGCTGATATCACTCAGTCATAGAAAATACAGTAAAAGTACAAGGATTATTTTGACAATCATAAAGCTGATCATGGTATGCCAAATACTGGCGAGACTGAGCTCAAGAAGAAACTAGGAGAAAAAACTGATAAGTTAATTGATATAATTAGAAATTGTGACGATTTTAAAGAAGCATTTATTGATGAGCAAAAGTAACTTAAGAGATCGATTGAGAGAGAGCAGGGCAGTTTACATGATAGACATGAGGATTTACTAAAGCAGGCTAAAGGTAAAAGGCTTTTGTTAATGTAGCCCTAGAACAAAGTCATAACCTAGATGAATTTACCGTAAATAGTTTGATTTAATTTGCATTGATATATTATAAATTATGATTTCATTGGATATTTCGTTCATGGGGTTTTGGGGTTTTGGGGTTTTGGGG